GTTTTATTTATTTTGAAGAAAACCCGAAGTGGAACGTTTTGGATTTAACATTGAACTGTGGGAAGACTAATTGTTTGATTGTTTGTGGGGTATTCAAAAATACACTTGCTATTTGTGATTATAATTTTGAGTTGTGTCCTTTCTTATATTTTCTAATGTCATTCAATGTTGGGTGTTTGCAGTGAGATGTTTACACCTTTGTGCAGACTTACTAAAACTGACTGACTAGCCAAATCTCAAACGTCAGGAGAGAGACCTGACTGGCACCCCAAAGAACCTAAATAAGTAAACTGTCACAATACCACTCGGAGCTGGGAATGTATTGTATTGTATTGTATTTATTTCTATCTGCATCTGCTGGACAGCTGCTTTTAATGCCGCTACACACCAACCTGAGACCAAAGAACGCGTACCAAAGGCGTCACGACTTTTACGTCCGCTACGTCGCCTGCGTTGGCTACGCCGCCCACCTACGAACACACCGCAAAGACTTCAGTCGACCAGTGGCAATGACTGTCCTTAACAACAGGCAGCGGTAGTGTGTATTCGTCATTCAAAAGAGGCAACAACCGGAAGACAGACTGCGTTATACACCAAGAGAAGAAGAATATAAACAAACAACAAATAGCGTCTGGGTCGCGAACAGAGGTGGCCTCTTCTGGATCAAGCTGATTAGTTGGTCTCCACTTTCTTCATTCCAGGCCGCCATGATAAAAAAGAAACTCTTGCGTCCGGGTGAGATGAAAATGAAAAAGATTAGCCGTCTGTGTGTGCCTTCTTAATCATTTGTTTTGGTCCCTCACTTCCGCTTCTCATGCACTGATTCGCAAAATTGAACAGCCAATCAGAGTGATTTCTTTGGCCGACTTTCTACAAATGTTCACATCTCCCGCGGTGAAAATTTACCGTAAAGAGACGACGGTGCGGGACACACCAACCTGAGTAGAGCCGCGAATGCCCGACTGACTCTGACGGCCTCTGACTACCAAAATCGGGTAGGTGTGTCAGGGCCTTAAGGCTCTGGAGGATAATTGGCCCTGGTCATACTGGTAATGGTTTGTTTCTACTTAAAAAAAAGAAAAAAAGAAAAAGTACTCTTGACCAGTAAAACCACGTCAGAAAGATTTAGTTAGGAAAGTGATGCGCATGCTGTGTACCAGTCAAGTACATTTGTAATAATCTTTGGCTGATATTGTCTCTAACTTTAACTATTGTTTCCTTCCACAATGATCTGACCACATTGACAGGATTATTTTTTTTATTTAATGTTTAATACCTCCTACAATGAGGTTATGTTTTAGGTATATACCTGTTAGCAGTATTACAGAAAAATGAGTGGCCCGATGTTCATGAAGGCTGGTGGAAGGGTGAAACATAGGCCAAAGAGAAAGTCCTTAAATTGTGATGCAGATTTACAGTAAATTACAGTTTTTTTTTGTTAACACTGCGATATAGGGCATTTGGCCTTGGCAGTGATTTGCGCTCACCGAATCCCTTTCTATTGGATCAATACAACTCTGCCTCTGGGAAGTCTTAAATTGATTGCAATGCAATATTTTAACCAAATTCCACTCAATACACATGCAGATGTAAGTAATTATCAGCAGTGATATAACCCCTTTGATTGATTGGCGATCTGTTTGGGAGAAGGCGACCTAGAGTGCCCTCTCCCAAAGGCCCAGCCTCCCGGGACAGGACACTGTAAGGGGTAAAGGACCGTTGATAAATAAATAAATAATTTAAAAATGTTATTGTCTGCGTGTGTCCTAACCTCCTGTTCGGTGATGTCCAGGATGCGTTCCAGGCTCAGCTCCTCAAAGTAGAGGCGGTCACACTCGTCGAAGTCGGTGCTGACCGTCTCAGGGTTGTGGTTGACCACCACTGTTTTCTTCCCCATCTCCCTCAGAGCTCTGATGCTGGACACCGCGCACCAGTCAAACTCAACACTGCTCCCTGGTGGATTAACACTTTGAGTAAGTTTCACAAATTCAGCATAACTAATATCAACTGCATATAACTACAACCAGTAATACTTTGTTTGGAAATGACGATAGCTTATAGTTGAGCTCACCAATGTGATAGGGCCCACAACCAAGAACCATGATTCCCTGGTCTTTAAAGTCCAGATCATTTTCCTGTTGATTGGATGAATGGATGAAACCATTGTTGACGAAGCACTTATGTCATTTATTCTGTTTAAAACTGTTTAAATAGTTGTTATATTTGCCTGTTCTATTAGTTTGATTGGATACATACATTATAATGTTAGTATAATGTGTTTTTCTTTAAGTATAACCCACATACCTGGCCATTGTAGGTACAATACAGGTAGTTGGTCATGGCTGGATACTCTGCAGCCAAGGTGTCAATCTGAGAAGAGGGATTAGAGGAAATACAAGTCGGTAAAATGTAAAACAAATACAAATAAAAACACTTTCTGTACTTTCAGTTCAGCAGATTTTGAAAGATTGAGGACTACTTTTATATAACGCATAAACATATCCGAGGAAAAAAGCAAAACCTACAATGATCTGATGCTAGTTAAGAGTATTGCCTGTGCAGCCAGAGCCTGATACTGTTCTCACCAAATAATTGTCAAAAACAATTTGAACAAATGTTTAAAGAATCCGGATTTAGTCACTTAATGAATTCTGGAAAATACAAAGATAAATCAACGCAAATGTTAAAATTGAAGTAACTCTAAATATTTCTGGCAGAGAAATAAGGATGTCAGAACTAATACATTGTTGGTATTAGTTCCAATTAGTTTTTCATGTTATGACTTGTAAATTGGGAATTACACTCTGAACAAAACACATGTCAATACTGCATGAATGGGGAAAGAGAGCTCTCACCTTTATGCCCCCTAGATATTTTTAGACTACCCTCATTTATATTAGTGGCCTAGTTTGTCAGTGCATGTGTGTGCGTGTGTATTGATCATTCACTTATCCGAGTGTATCTGGCCTAAGTGGAAGCTGCAGTAAGATCCCAGTGAAGCTCACCTGTTTGACCCAGGGTCGGATGTTGTGAGCCAGCCGCAGCTCCCGGGCTGCTCGCTCACTGCAGCCCAGCGCCTGACCGAGCTGCTGGTCGGAGAAGCCGTCCTGTTTGGCCTTCAGCAGCAGCTCCTTGGATATTGTCGCACTGTAGGGAAAGTCATATAGTGATGGTAATTAAAAAACCTTCCAAATCCCCACAGTTTCAAATTGAATTAGTTGATTTTTACTGAGTGAGATGTCAGGTTTCTCAATGGAGTTCAATAAGAGGGTTGGTTTGAAGGCTTATTTTTTTAAGGATTTAATTTGACTTATTAAGGCATTATGATCACTTCTTGAAGCACTACACTCCATCTGTGTTGGAACAGCATTGCTCTTGTCATATTGTGCAGTAACAAAATCTCCCTTAATAAAACCCCCCCCCCGTAAAATCGACTTATTCTGATACAAGACTTTGTCTACTGCGAAGTAGATGTAACCAGTCTGTCAATCATCTCCTAGCCTTAAATGTTTAATACAGAGTATCCCTGATGTGAATCTGGAAGTGAAGGAAAAAGAAGCAGGAGGTAGATGAAAAGGGAGACAGGGGAATTTATTATTGAATGTTTTCCGTCTGTTGCCCCTCTCATATATCTTTGTTTTTTCAAGTTCACTGAACTAAGAGGGTCATTCCGGCAGCGGGTCATGACTGTCTCGCCTAGCCAGTGATGTGGACAGCAAGGAGCAGCCCGCCTCAGAGATCAATAACACATCAAAGGTAAGGCACAGAGGTGCCAAAGTTCCAGGTTGCCCAGTGCAGCCATTTAAGACACACTTTAAGTCTATAAAACTGTAATGCTTGCTGTGAGGTTAAGGGAAATGGTGGTAGAAATAAAGTTAGGTATCAAGAGTTGATTGTGAATTGGAGCAATTGCCAAAGGAAATTCATACAATTAAATGTTAGACCTAATAACACATTGAGCAGGTTGGTGTAAATTGTGGTCTATTTTCATGATGAGTTAGACAACACAATTAAGCCTTAGTATATTTTATGTTGATATACAACATTGCAGCAGAGTAAATCTACTGACCTTTTTCTTTTAACTTTTTGCCTTTCTACATTATTGAAGCAAGAAGACATACATTTTTTGAAAAATCTTTTGTTTGACCTGTGTCAAGTAAATCGTTGTTCAGAAAATGTTAATCCTAGCTTAGCACAATTGAAAGGTTACATGTTGCATTGATGTTTTTGGAAAAGCTCAGAGTTAGGTGTGAAAGCCAGACACTTCACAGTAAGGACATGAGATGCTGGTGTAGTTACAGTTACACAAAGTAGTTCAAGTATATAAGACATGTGCTAATAAAACCACAGTTAATGTTGTTTTAGTTCTCTCTCAACATATTAAATAAGAAAAGTGTTTAAATATAACAGCTAACCGTCTCTATTTTCTTTTCTTTAGTTGCCAAGTGAAAACAAATGAAAGATGAAATAGATTTTGATCTTAACTCCTAAGAAACTTCACTTCTAAAATGTCACCATATTCCTTTAATCCTATGTACACACAAAATGAGGGAATTCGTATTTCTAGTAAACCACAATTTGGTCGCCCTCCTCCTTATCTGAATTATTTATGAACCTTAAGCGAAACAATATTGGAAATGTCAAGTGTGTTTTAACTCCCACTGCACATAGTCGGGCTGAGAAATGGCAACCCAAGAAACGAGGAAAGGAGAGCGTCTGAGTCAGAGAGAAGATTTGAACTCAGGGCTCAGTTGTCCCGTGAACAATTATCCTCTGTGGAAGAGCAGTTTAAAGCCAGAGAGAAATCCTTGGCATGTCATGAACTTATGTACTGACGCCCTCACACACAAATAAAAACATGAAAAATACATTAAGACATTGTTAGTATGCATGATGTTCAGTAAACTACCAGTCAAAATCGAAGGATCCAACATGTCGGAGCAGAAATAGAACTAGTCTCCCAGTTCAAGTATCTTGGAGTCATACTGGACTCAAACTTGACTTTGAAGAAAGTATCCAATACCTTTAAATTCAACTTGCAACATGTTAAACAAATTAGACCTTTCTTAACTGTCAATGCTGCAAAGTCATACCTCCACTGTATGATTCTATCCCATATTGAATACTGTTTGACAAACTGGTTGTTTGCTTGTGCCACAAACCTGAGATACGGGATTGTCCCCTCAATAGTTTTAAAGGTTGACTCAAAGAATGGTTGAGAAACAAACATCCGTGCAATCACCGCTAAATGCACTTTAACACAAGGGTATCTCCGCTTGCACTTTATGTAGCTCTTGTATCTTCTCTTGCACTTTATACAGTATGTCGTTGCTGCTATATTGTATTACCATGTCATAAATACTTGTGTATGCTGCTCTTGCTCTTTTGCACTTTTTGCATATCATGTATTTTGTTTTTGCTATGTTTGTAAAATGTAATCTTCTTTAATGTTTTATGTGAGGGACTGCGGATGGAAATTAGCTCAAAGCTAAATCTGGCACTGTTACGCTTCACACATTTGAATGTTTTAATTGTTCATTATTGTGCATTGTCCCTGCCAAATAAAAGATTAAATGAAATGAAAATCTGTAAGAGGAGAAATGGGACTGAGATATCCTCACACATGCTTACTAAAAACACACATTCACTTACACTTTAAAATAATTGCACTTTCTCGATTTCTACACATTTAATTGTATTCTTATTCCAAGTTTCAACCATTAAAATGGTATAAGAATGACACTTGTGTGTTTTGCATAATTACTGTCCTTACACACTGAGTATGTTCATCTAATTGTCATTCAAATCATGCACAAGGCTTATAAAGCTACCTCATTATCTCTGTACTCATATGCAGGTGTAACAAAAATCTGTGTGCATGTCTATAGGCGTTCTATCAAACTAGATAATTGAAACTAAACCTCAATGCAGAATATGGTACAGGTATAATATTGGTGTAGTGTTTATTTTGATAACCAATATATCGTTAAAGTCATATTTTCAGTTTAAAAGGGCCAACATCTTGTTCCAGCAATGAGATGATCGGCAGCTTTGAATTGGTCATGTAGCATTTAAATTGAACATCTTTGGTCTTGGACGCCTGAGAAGTGGTCCTGATCTTCAAAAAACTGATGGTAGTTTGTTTTATTATTTTATTATATATTTTATTACTTCTGATGTGCTTAGAGGAATTAATGATAAACATAATAATCAATTAGGAATGTTAGTGTTGCAGTCCTAATACAAATTGCATTTTTAACACTTTAAAACATACATATATTGTATTTCCAAAATAATGTCAAGGTCTACTAAACTGATATTTTCTACTACCAACATTTATAATTTGTTTTAGATGTTTCAAATTCCATTTCCAATGTTATAAATATCGATCCATCCATCCATCTTCTCCTGATTATCCGTGGTCGGGTCGGGGAGGTAGCAGTTCCAGCAGAGAGCCCCAAACTTTCTTTTCCCTGGCCACATCAACCAGCTCTGACTGGGGGATCCCAAGGCGCTCCCAGGCCAGCGAAGAGATATAATCCCTCCACCTGGTCCTAGGTCTACCCCTTGGTCTCTTCCCAGCTGGACGTGCCTGGAACACCTCCCTAGGGAGGCGCCCAGGTGGCATCCTAACTAGCTGCCCGAACCACCTCAACTGGCTCCTTTCGACGCGAAAGAGGAGCGGTTCAACTCCGAGTCCCTCCCGGATGACTGAACTTCTCACCTTATCCCTAAGGGAGACACCAGCCACCCTGCGGAGAAAACCAATCTCGGCCGCTTGTATCCGCGATCTCGTTCTTTCGGTCATGACCCATCCTTCATGACCATAGGTGAGGGTAGGAACGAAAATGGCGCGGTAGACAGAGAGCTTTGCCTTCTGGCTCAGCTCCCTTTTCGTCACAACGGTGCGGTAAAGACGACTGCAGTACCGCTCCCGAGGACACCTCCAACCCCTGTAACTTGGTCTTCACCACCACAAGTTTCGGAACTAAGGCTTCGGGCGCCGCCCCTCGACCAGCGGGTTCCAGAAATCCACGGAGGTTCCCCGGCCATTGGGAGTTTAGGAGGACCACCCTGTGGCCCACCAGTCCTTCGCACGGCTGACTTCTTCCTTTCCGGAAGTACCTGCACAATTAGGGCCCCCTGAGGTCCGTCAACGTTCCATTGCGCTGCCCGGGTTTCCCGTCGTCGGGTCGGCACCGCTCCGTTTCGTCGCCCACACCCTCTTCAGCCCTCCTCTGTACCTTTTCCTGAAAGCCCGGCGTGGTTTCAACCGGAGCCTTTTGACAGGCTGTGAGTTTTTCCCCCTTCGTCCCTTGGTAGGTTCGGACGCTGTCATTCCTACCCTGCAACAACTGGGAGTTGACTACCTCGACAAATCCCGCAACCCTTCCTTGTGCCAACTCCTTTTGAGGGACTGGGCTTTTGAGGTGGGAGATACAATCTCCGTCTCCGACCTCATAACTGCCCCTTAGTTGTGGTTGGAGTGGCCCCCCTCCAGTGACTCCAGCAGTTGTTGAGGCGTACCGTTTCGGAGCCCCCACCTACTCTAGGCGGGTCTTTAACGACTTCCGAGACCACAATCCCTGACAGTACCAACTGTGCAGTAGTTACAACGCACCTTCAGCCTTTTGCCCATGGCTTCGCTCACCGTCTGGCCTCACCACCAAAGGGGAAAGTTTTTCCAACTAGTCTCCCACACACGGGTTAATGTCTCGTAGCTGTGTGAGTCGGAGGCCTCTTTCAAATGAGATTCCATTGAGCTTTCCTCCCAGTCTCCCGCTAACAGCTGGAGTCTAACGCCTCCTTGTTACGCCTAAAGGCAGACCAGCAACCTTGCTGAACTAGTCGAAAAATAGAGCGTTCCTAGGACCTGCCCCGGACCCTCATACGAATAGGTCAGGTGTAGCACCAAAACATTTGAACTCTCTCCGCCGTCTTGTGCTCAGAGGGTCCCTCAATGTAACCCTCCACGACCCTCCTACCCCCACTCCCCCAGCGATGAGTCCCGGTAGGTTAGAGACTGAGGGTTTCGCCTCTCGACAGCCCAGAGCCGTCATTCAGCCTGGGTAAAGGCCACTCCCAACCGGAGGCGTTCCCGACGCGAACGTGGTTATGGACACAACATTATATGTACCTAGCCTAAAGCTCCGCCTCAGGCCCCCCTCCCCCAGACGTCAAGCCACCTGATTCCTAACGTTGGTGACGAAACGTCTATACCCAAGACTACCGAAGTAGCCAGACGCTGGAAGTCAGGTTGCGTGACCTAGCCGAAGCGTTGGCTCACACTTCGCCGACCCTACTCCTAGTCTGGGAGGTTTAGACCTCCGGTACCAAGAGTCGTCCTTGGCTACTGACAGGTGAGGTTCATCCCTTACTCAGTAATGGGGTTCACTTCCTCAAAGTCATAGAGCCCAGAACACGAGCTCACTCCGTTTGTTACCTCGCACCTCTACCCGGACTCTNTCCATGTGAAAAAAATTGCTTCTCACTGTTCTCAGGTCAAATATTTATATGTGATTAAAAATGCGATTAATTGCGATTAATTAATTACAAAGCCTGTAATTAATTAGATTAATTTTTTTAATCGAGTCCCGGCCCTAATATATATATATATATATATATATATATATGGATAAGATTACAAAGAGCAATCTTCTGACTTCTTGAACTTTGCCAGGTTGCTCATCTTCTTTGACTCATTCTTGGACATCAGTCTCCTGCTAGTCTCCTGAGCTCTGATCCCTCCTCCATCCCTCTTTTTCTGTGAGAAGTACTTAGCAGAAGCCTCGGTCACCATTTTAACAACCCCGATTTCTCTTATTCTTCTCCTTCTCTCTCTCTCTACCTACACTCATTCGTCTTTGATCAGACCCCCGGTATACGCTAGTCAGCGTGCGATTACTGTACAGCCAATCACAACGCGTGACGTCATTGGTAAGCGACGGACCCCGGGTAGATCTGGTAGCCCGAGCACATATGGTACTGACACCGGGTCCAGCATGAACAGGCATAAGCTCTTCCCCCTCTTTTTCTTTTTAAAGCTTTGTACCCCGAATCAGCACTTTAGTAACAGGAAGTGAAATAGAGGCATGGCTAGAATGGGTGATTTGTTTGGTATTTTGAGCAAAACACTTCATAGACATGTTTTTTATACATTTTTATATATCTGAGACCCATGCTATTGCCTAAATATTGCATGATAGCTGACCTGTAATAAACGTACCACTATACTGGTGTCTAAAATAATCCACTGTTCATTTTATTAGGATAATCGAAAAGTCTGTAATCAAAATAATGTTGCTTGCTAGCTAGCTAACAGCGGCGACGGGTCACTTCCGGTGAGGGCACAACAAGTGTTCAAAGTGCATTACATTGCAGTGTATTATAGTGTACCTAATAATTATAATATATTTCTTGAATTAATTCCACATCGCCTTACAGAAATACAAAAGTAACAAACCTGTTGTAGTTTGCCAGGTGCTGCTCCAGCTGTGTGATCCTGTAGAGTTTGTGGAGGAACCACTTGTCTATGGCCGTCAGCTGGTGGATCTCATCAACACTCATACCACTGTGGAGGGCCTAAAGGAAGAGCAATGAACCAGCATTACATTCATCATTCAACAAGTCCATCATCCTCCTTGCCCCTTATGGGAGCATTCCGAGTAGATTTCTAATCGGTTTCACTGAGTTTCACCAGATTAATAAATTGCTTGTGATTTAAATATTGCGTTACGACTCCTCATGAGTGTCTTCTTTACTCTCTCTCTCAGCTCACACATGAGCTCCTGTTTTCAATGCCTTGTTTTGTCTTTTCTTTTAGAATTAAACTATTTTAAACACTAATTTCTGCTCAACCTGGAACTTGTGTACTTCACTAATCTACCAATTGATCATTCTCATTTATTTGTTTTGTAAATAACGTTATTTAATGAGGCGTTTCAGTTTTAGGGGGTTGTCACAGATGTTACCAATCATTCAGTGACATGTCACTGGATAGGACTGGTCATTCAGCACGGTCACTGTAAATAATCCGTTTTTATCCATTACTTTTTCAAGGACTCCTTCAAGTAGAACATCTATTACAGGGACAATATATTACTTGGACAATATTGGGGGTTTTAGGAAAAATCTCATATCAAGCCAGGCTGTGACATTAACCTGTAATATGACAGAGGTCCTACCCTGACATTAGCTTGTAAATATGTTTTATCCTTTTCTTATTAGATCGCTGACCAGAGGAATCATTCCAGGTTAGGAGCAGGAGGATTCTTCTTAAAAATGAAATGAACCCTTCCCTGCGAATAAAGAGTGTTTAATCAAGCTCCAAGTGATTTTATCTTTCAGAATAGCGTGTTTATGTATTTTGTGATATCAGAAACAAACATTTCCAAAAAGATATACATGTAGGAAAAACTAAACAGGGATATGTTTGGTGTTTTTGAGTGCTAACAATGCAGACAAAACAAGGTGCAAAACCTGAGAACATAATATCCAACAATATATAAGAGAATTACATCTAATGCATTTTCTTTCTTTGCTACTTATCAAAGCGTACTGCTGTCTAGCTGTGAAGGACTGTCAAGTGCTTATGGCACTTGCTGTGGTTTTTATTATGCTTTCCAAACCGCAGTATTAAGTATCGTCTGGAATGGTTGTGACCAAAGAAATGTGGGTTTCAAAACTAATCCAGTGGGAAACACAGAGGTTAGCTGAGAGACTGTGCTGACCACCATAAGATATTTGATTGCCAGAGATAAGATGTGGATCATTAATCCCTAATGCTGTCGCCATCCTCAGTGATCTCAATCCATATTAAGAAGGTGGAAAGTATATCTTCATTGTTAGAACACCAAAGCTCACACAGTTGGAGGTTTTGACACTGAGACAACCTCGTCAGCTCTTCTTTCAGCAGATTATAGAGCGTGTTGAAGTGCTGGACGTCTGTTTAAATTAAGGAGCTTGACCCCGTATCTCGATGTGCTTATGAACCTTATGTTTAAACCTTGATCTAATTCTATGAGGGGAAACAAGGGAAAAGGTCACTGCATTGTACAAGCAAAAAAACACATTTAAACATTTCAAACGCCCACCCCATCAGTTAAATAATAAATCACTTTTTATAATTTATGTGTTTTCCAGGTGAAATATGTCATTTCTTTGCATTTGTTACGGTTCAAATAAAAGACAAGCATACAATTATGCATTCACAGTTACGCATTCAGGGACACATTTTTCTCTGCATTTCATGTTTTTTTCATGATTATTTCTCTGGAACACTTCATTTGAATGAGAAACTTGGTGTCATTCATTATTAACAGACAAGTGAAAGACAAGTGTACCTTGGCGAGGGAGAAGATGCGGGTGATGGAGGGCACAGACAGTTCCTGCTGCAGGTCCTGGTTGTCGGCCCAGGCTTTCTTGTGTGGGAGTCGGGGCACAAAGCCATCCACTGATGGATGACACATCCTCAGGGCCTTCTGCATACTCTCCTCAAAAGTCCGGCCAACCGCCATCACCTGAATCCAGCAAATGGAAAAACTTGACGGAAAAGTCTTGCTGACAAACACACTGAACCAAAAAAAGGACCTTCATGGCAGGTAATAAAATTGGTTTGTGAGTTTAAAGAAGAAGCAAGTTGGTGAGTGAGTGTTTATCCATGGATCCTGCCTCACCTCTCCGACACTCTTCATGGCGCTGCCTATTTCATGGGACATGCCCTGAAAGCGGTCCAGGTCCCAGCGGGGGATCTTGGTGACGATGTAGTCCAGACTGGGTTCAAAACACGCCGTGGTGTTCTGCGATACAGCGTTCTTGATCTCCGGTAGAGGGATACCCAAAGCCAGCTTAGCAGCAACAAATGCCAAGGGATACCTGAGAAACAGGCATTGAAGTTAAGCATTTTGATTTTACGTTTTAGTTTTGTGAATTCTTTAGAAAATATGGATACATAACTGGCTTTATAAATGACCAACAAGATGTATATTTAATACAATTTTACTTTAAGTAGTACATAGTTTTATAGATTAACACATTCATGTATGTTTTATCTAATTATGTGGCAGTACTTTCGCTGCCCACTAGATGGCAGTGTGAAAGCCCACTAGTGAGTTGCAGCATGTCGATAATAGGTGTGTCATTAAAAAGTAATAAAAAAGGATATAGTAATAGTACAGTACTTCATAAAAACAAAAAAAAGAATAATGAAAAACTATGTCCTTAAAATTGTTATAGTAGAGCATGTCAATCAAATAGTATAAAGGTTTGTTTTTTCATAAAAAAAGTCATAGTATGATCCTCGGATTATTTTTAACATTCAGCTATCCAATGATTCCGTCCTGCTCGTGGAACGACGGATGAGCTTTTTACTCTTGCAAGGATCCTGGAGGGGGCCTGGGAGTACGCTTATCCAGTCTACATGTGTTTTGTAGACTTGGAGAAGGCGTATGACCGGGTTCCCGGGGAGTTACTGTGGGAGGTGCTGCGGGAGTATGGGGTGAGGGGGTCTCTACTCAGGGCCATCCAATCTCTGTACTCCCAAAGCGAGAGCTGTGTCCGGGTCCTCGGCAGTAAGTCGGACCCATTTCAGGTGAGGGTTGGCCTCCGCCAGGGCTGCGCTTGTCAGAGACTGCCAAGGCACA